TCATGAGCACGCTGCACAGGCAGTGGGGAGGAATGAATGACGGTAGGCCTCAGCTCAGGCAGGGTCTTACACATGAAGTTTAATAAATCAAACTATCTCAGTTGGCCTCGGCCTATCTCATCTGTTTTTGATTCCCGAGGTAAATTACTGGTGACGCATATTCCACTGTCTAAAAATATTTTCCAATGAGAGCAGCCTTGAAGTACCTAGCCTATAGTTTCTGAAACTTTGTGAACCATGAAAAAAAAAAGAAACCTACCCACTGACCTAGCCCCGGTGGCACGGACTCTCACTCCCGCTCGAGTGAGAGTCCGTGCCACACTAGTGGGGCTACCCACTGACCCAGCATGCCCAGTACCCTTTCTGAAAAACCACAGTGTTAACTTACCACTTTCTCGTTAGTACCTGACGAAGAACGCACAGGGTCTGAATTTTTCAAGATTTTTCAAGCCTATACTATGTAAATTTAACCCTTTGTAAGCGTAACAAAATACACGTGTACATGTGTGATTGTAGGCCTAGTATCATGCCTGTACTGCATGCACAGATTTTTCTGTTCACGCAGAAAAAAGCAGCAAGCAGTGCAGTAAACAGGTGCCATTATTTTTCACGGAATGACACGTACTTGACAGTACAGGTTGAAACGAGTCAGTGGCTTGGACACTGTATATCCGGTTCGTAAATGTGACGTCACTTCAGTTTAAACCACGCCCACTGCACAAGCACAATCACAACCGGAAGTTAACGCGCAACTTCTTCTTCAAGGCTTCTTGGTTCTGCAAACCAAACTCCTCAAATGAGATACACTGTTGGTGGTGTGTCGTGGTGCGCCCTCCGATAAAAGTAGTTAGGTCCATGTTGATTAATTATGTCTGCAGCCTGTCAGCTTTAGTTACTTGTCGTACGTCTGTTGGCAGTAGGTTTCACTCAACTATGGTTCTTGGCAGATATGAATATTTTGTAACAATCCTTTTTGATGTGAGGTGAAAAAAGGACCACCCTGTCTTCTTCAGATTTGATTTCTCGATAGAGAATGCAGTCATCGACGAAAAGTCGTACTTGGGATCTTATACCTACAGGGAGATCATTTATGTACAGGATGGAGAGTAAAGGCCCCAAGACAGTGCCTTGAGGGACTCCAGATTGTACCCTGACTGATA